TGAATCTGGTAACGGTCCTACCAAATCCAAATAAACATGGTCGAAACGAGCATCGGGAGTTTTAAACGAGCCTAAGGGACATTTATTGTGTCTGATAACCTTAGATTTTTGGCAGCTTACACAGGAGCGTGCCCACTCCCTCACGTCTCTATTCATGCCAGGCCAGCAAAACCGTTCTGCTATAAGCTTGATGGTTGCACGGACACCTGGATGAGAAAGCTTGTGCAATGTGTTGAAGACAACGTTTCGGCACGATTGGGCGACCCCTACCTGCAGATGTGTCACACAGTAAGGTTCCCCTACCTGTTCCCATCTGTTTGATGTGTAGTTTAAGGGTTGTAGACGATAACTCGTGCTGAAGATCAGTGTCTTCTTTTTGAAGCTGGACGAGTTTAAGAAGGTCGATTCCTTAGAAACTGATCAAGGAAGTTATGCGAGACAAAGCGTCTGCAACTACATTGTTTGCTCCAGAAATATGTTGAATATCTGAAGTAAACTGCGAAATGTAGTCCAGTTATCGAGACTCATGGGGAGAGTACTTGTCTGAAGACGAACTTAACGAGAAAGTAAGAGGTTTATGGTCAGTGAAAAGAGTGAATTCACGGCCTTTGATATAGTGTTGAAAATGTCGTATAGCACAATACGTAGCTAGGAGTTCCCTACCGAGTGAGCTGTACCTCAATTCGGTGTCTAGCAACCGTCTAGAGAAAAATGTCAAGGGTTGCCAGGAGTTGTTAACCCATTGTTGTAAGACTCCTCCGATTGCCGAGTCGGATGCGTCTACTGCGATGCTAATGGGTGCTCGGGTGTCCTGATGTGCGAGCATTGTTGCTTTAGCAATCAGTTCCTTAACTGTCGAGAATGCTTTGCGTGCACTGTCGTCCAAATTAATGGATTTCGCATTTCCACGAAGTTGGTCGGTTAGCAGTTTCATGAGTAATGCGCATGTAGAATTATGGTCTACTATGATATTAGTGCTGCTCTAATAATAGACCTAATCCTAAATTTGTAGATTTGTCATGATATAACTGCCTTATCTATAAGATCATACGTGGAAGTCACACCATCGACTACGCCAACTCACTGTATCGTACCAATTACCAATACATGATGTAGAACAAGGTTAGGCTAGAGAAAGAACAATATATTTAATATGAATAGAAGAAATAAGATAACATTCAGCAGGGACCACGCCTCCATGGCCGAGCCATGCAGTTCGATCAACTCTAATTCACTCAACTCATTGTTCGCGCCTTCTCCATCGTTAGGTATTTCTCCGTGTTAAATACTGAATATCTATTTTCCGAGTTGTCTCATGTTCAGCTTTGCGGATTGTGTGGTTATGGTCCAATGCCACTACACGCATTTCGTATGAAACATCTATAGAAACTTACGAGGCCGTTAAACGTGCGTAATTGTTTGATCGTGGTCGGTTCTGGGTAGTCCAGAATGGCCGTCACTTTGGTTCTAAGGGGTCGAATGCCTTGAGCATCTATAGTGTGTCCTAGGAAGTCTAATGAGTCAGTCCCGATTCGGCATTTCTGAACGTTTACAGTAATGCCATGATTTTATAGTCGGTCGAAAACAAGATCCAGATGCTTGAGATGTGGTTCTCTGTCCGTACTTGCGATTAAGCAGTCGTCAACATACGCATGTACGAAGTTGAGACCTCGAAAAACGTCAGCTATGAATCTTTGGAATGTTTGAGCAACGTTTCTTAGACCGAAAGGCATTCGCAAAAATTCATAGAGTCCGAAGGGAGTAATGATTGCGGTTTTCGGTATGTCGTCTGTAGCCATAGGGATTTGGTTATACGCTTTAACCAAGTGGTTTTTCGAAAACACAGTTGTACCTTTCAAGGTAGCTGTCAAATCGTGAATGTGAGACAACGGGTATTGATCGGGTAGGGTTTTCGCATTCAATCGCCGATAGTCAAAAGGTGAACGCCAATCGTTGCTGTCCTTTTCAGGGACCATGTGCAACGGAGATGCATATGGGCTACTTGACGGTCGTATGATTCCTAAGTCTATCATATGGTCGAACTCGTTTTTCGCCAACCTTAGCTTTTCAGGAGCTAGTCGTCGTGCTTTAGAGAATACAGGTGGTCCTGTAGTCATGATGTGATGTGTAACATTGCTGGTTACACATGGCAATTTCGGTTGAGATTGGTTTATCCCAGAATACTAATCGAGTAATAGTTGATAGAATGGGTCTATCATATGCTTAATTGTGACTGGGGATAATCTGCAATCAGAAAAAGAAGTTGCGCAAACGGACAAATTAGTGTTTCCGTCTACTAGCCTCCGTTTGCGCGTATCGATGATCAGATTATGGTGTTGTAGAAGGTCCATACCAATGATTGGCATAGAAACATCTGCAACAACGAAAATCCAGTGAATGGGTTTGCGTAAACCCACGTTAAGGTAAACGTACCCTTTGCCATACGTAGCGATCGGTTTTCCGTTTGCCGCCTGTAAGTTTAAAGCCGATTCGTGAAGCCGGTCGTTGGGATTCGCTGGGAGAACGCTAACTTCTGCGCCATTGCCGACGAGGTAGCGAACTCTCGTTGTCACATCTGTGACGTGTAACAGACGGCTATGTTCGCTGGCTACGGTTGCCATTAACGCGTACCGGCTTGGAAGGTTCCCGAGTTGTTTTTCGAATTAGTCGGTTTCGTGTTGGAAAAATTGCAGGGTTTTCTGCAATTTCTGGAAAACTTTCCATACTGATTATAATACCAGCACCAGTCGAGGTTATCTGTCTCTCGTGGTCTAGAGACAGGTCGCTTACGATAAATGCTTCTACGTGGTGTGCGCGATCTCTTACGGTCGGTACGAAGACTAAGATAACGCGTGAGTGTGTGACATAAGTCGGTTATATCATTCTGAGTCGTGTGAGGCTTTTCTTTGACTGAAAATACCTCGGTAGTAGGTTTCGTAATTTCTGGAATGCGGTCGGCAGATGCAGCTAGCTCGTCTAAGACGGTGTTCTGAAACGGGATCAGAACCGCTTGCACCCGTTGGGGAAGTTTAGACAAGAAAAGTTGTTTGAATAAGCCTTCGTCGAAAGTTCTTGGGCCTATAAACTATTTCATCCTTTGCAACATGTTCGTCGCAGAACCATGCTGCATGTCTATGTTATTAAAGAGTTGATCTAACCTTTGTCGATCGGTTAGGTCTCCTCGTTTAAGGATAGAACGCCTTAAGGTTTCGTAAGGTTCAGAAACATCATTAGTAAACATACTAGGTGTTACGTACCTGTTGAATTCCCGCGGTAGTGCCTTGACTACTGCGAGGAATTGTGCACGTGTGTCGTTCACGCCGTGCTCGTGAAAGTCGGCTTCTGCGTAGCAGAACGAGGCTTAGATATTGTCGGGCCAGAAGGGCATGAGTTGGAACGAGGATGAAGACATGGTCTTAATCTTAAATACCTAAGGAGTCTGTTCGTTCAAAGGGGAATATAAAGTACGAGACTACGAGGGAAAAATATAAAGATATCCTAAAACACGGGAAAAAAATATCACAATGTCTAAAAAATATAAAAATAAGGCAATAATACATAAAAAGCCCAAAAAGGAACGGACTCATAGTTGCACTTAGGTGTACTAGACCACGTCGGTCTCACTAATGAAGATGGCACAGGTATTCAGTGTTTGACAACGCTTTTACCAGCAACACCTAATATAATTCGTACCCACCAAGAGAAATCAAAAGACAGAGTCGAGGAGATCGGAAGAGTGTATTTGGCGATAACCAATATATCGGAATTCTCTAATCTGATCTGGCTAGCGATTGCGGTAGATGTTGAGCACGGCGTTCCCACACATGATCTGGTGCGGATGCATGACCGGGCGCCTTCAGCTAGGTGAGTCCATTAAAACATGTGGTCAGCATCCAATGTCGAAAACTTACAGAGCTATTTATATTGGGGATTTATTTGCCGCTACAATATATTTTATACATACGTGGTTTACATACAAGCCAAACTAGACCATATCAAACCACAAAATAAAAAACAATAATCATACAGGATCAAGCCAAAAGTGGTTGTGAGTGTGAGGGATTGTGACTACTAGATGGAGAATAACTCGAGAATGGTAAATCGTATGATAATGGTCATTATGTTAAATAAGAGTTTATGATAAAGGAAATGTAAATATATAAAATGTATAAAATAAGAATATATATGCAATAAAAATTCATAAATAGACCTCAGATGTTACCCACATTTTAATGTTCGCTAGGATATAACAACTAAGATTATTGTTCACTGGTTTTGGCACTCCAAATATGCAATCTCGTTGTGTGAGTAGCTGAAAAGTTATTGTTGCTGTATAAATCTTCAGTGAAGTACTGAAGTGCCTTGCAATCTTGACTCGAGGTACGGAGACATTTCTCAGTGATCAACCAATAGATACTGGTGGTTAGAAATCCACTACTAATTACAATTTTTCACTTCTGGCTATTCTGTAATGGCACCACAGGTATTCAGAGTTTGACAACTCATATAATCGAAGAATGCCACCCCGCCGAATCATAGGTCAGAAATGAAGAATTTCGAAACAAATGAGTCCGCTTAGGCTCCAGATAAATCGGCCACCAAATACAAGTTGGATTTAGCCGAATGTATAGGTTAATGTCACCTGAATCTACCACAAATCCGCCGTCGTCACCTAATATCAAGACACAAACGCACTACAAATCCTCAATTATCTGCAATGCCTGACTTGATTGTTACCAAGAACTGGTCAGTTTCGCTTAGTTGAACATTAAGAAATAGCTGAAACCACCTTTCACCTTGTGTAGAATAGACTAAGATGTTTCTCTCTAGCTCATTTAAAGTTATTGTACCTGAGTGGTAAGCCTACACATATTAGACGATACAAATGACCTGAAGCCATGTTTTAACACTAAGATGTCAGCTCACAAAGTTCATTTAGTTTATACTTGGTATTTGCCAAGCATTAGGTACTAGGTATATGATCTCGGATATGAGCGGCTGATTTAAGTCCAAGGTCCAACGACAGCGGTCCAAGGGCAACTACACTGTGGTATCGCGACGCTTCTTTGCGCCGCTTCTTTATTACTGCTTTGTGCACATCAGAAATTCAAAATTAATTATAAATAAATCTGAAAAATTGGTGGCTTTAGACTCAACTTAGGGATCTAGCAGACGGAACTAAGATTTAGAACTGTTTAAATCCCTACAACACCTTAGTAAGAGCTTTCCTCTGTTCTTCACGAAAGTCACCTCGAGTTTTGCTATCTTTTGTTATGATTGACATTGTTGTATATTTAATGCCGTCGGTGTAAGCCTTGTGTATGATTGTTTACTCTCTTGAAACCTGATTCTTTAGATAAAACGTATTAAAAAAGGTATTTGAATATATTGGTTATCCACATAACATGACTTTATTATTATTTGTACTAACACTGCAGTATAATTATCAAAAGAAGAACAGCTGTTTTTTTATGAACTTATCGAGAGGCGATGAGACCATAATTTATGGACGACCTTTGAGCGACGCTGAAGTGACCTTGAGAACGGATACCTACTAATTAGGACAAAATGAGATTTCTAAACCAGTTAGAGTTATGATTTACGGTTGATAGTTAAGGTTAAAAATTAGATTTAGGGTTTTCGTCACGAAATGACATAAGCTATAATGCCAAAACTCTATTTAGCCAAATGGATGAATGAATTTCGCTCTATAATTTATTACTCTTTATCTTTTATCTAATTGGTTCGTCCATGAATTATAGTCGCCCCAGACGCTTGTTGAGATGAGCAAAGATGTTAGTCAGATTACTTCTTCAGAAATTTGGAATTTGTTCGTAAAAGACGTGCATAAGCTATACAATATCGGTCACATATGTCTTAGAAACATCCGTCATATCTGATGGAACCACGGAGTTATGTCGGGATGTGGATAAAGGTACTATTTAGAGTTAACGACCCGATTAATCATGCTGCGGAACTTAATTGACTTATATGTTTAAGATGTGCGTTACACATTCCTCATGACCGCCTACCCTCATGTGTAATATCATTTAACGTTCATATTGGTCAGGTAAGGTACATAGTTACGATCTTAAAACAATTCTTATAGATCATACCTTGTTCTAAATTACTTACTCAGAAACTGTTTTTTGTTCAATCAATTTATAAGATTTTTTGTTAGCACTTTCTACATATTTTTCACTTAGGCAGTTGAGTTATTTTCGGGCAATTTACTGGTATTCTTGTTAGAATTTCCTAAAAATAACATGGAATAGGATACTAGTCGAGTGAGTGCTTATGGCGAACTGTCATTGATGGCAATAGCTACTTTTGCAACCTCAAGTGAAGTCCGTCAAGGCTGTCCACTTTCTCCATTTTTGTTTAACTTCATCATAGACCTATTGATGGAAATAACATTCTCGTCGACTGAATTCTCGGGTATTGATCTCCTTCCAGGAGGTCCACTTATAGACTTAGAATACGCAGATGACATAGTCCTGCTTGGTGAAGACGCTGACAAAGTGCAGAGTCTTCTGGTAGTACTGAGCAACAATGCCAGGATGTTTGGAATGCGCTTCTCTCCCTCTAAATGCAAGTTGTTGCTTCAGGACTGGCCTGCGTCAACACCTGAACTAAGGATAGGGAGTGAAGTAGTCGAACGCGTTGACAATTTCACTTATCTTGGAAGTCTGACCAGCCCTCATGAGTTGGTATCGGACGAAATGTCAGCACGGATTCGAAAGGCTCGTTTGGCTTTTGCCAACTTACGTCACCTGTGGCGAAGGCGAGATATCCGTCTATCAATAAAAAGATGAGCATACTGCGCGGCAGTCCGTTCTGTTTTAATTTGCAACAGCAGAACATGGCCATTAAGAGTAGAAGACACTCGTAAGCTACTAGTATTTGACCACAGATGTCTTAGAAATATTGCTGGCATCTGCTGGGATCATTGGGTGAGTAATAGTGAGGTTAGATGCAGGGTATTATAGAATGATGGTAAATCAGTTGTTGAGGTTGTGAATCTTCATCGACTGAAATGGTTTGGTCACGTGTTACGTATGCCTGAACACCGATTACCACGACGTGCAATGCTAACGGGGGTAGGGGATGGTTGGAAGAAAGTTAGGGGCGGTTAAACCAAAACGTGGCATCAATGCCTGAAGTCACTAACTTCTAGTCTGAGTCATGTTGGTAGATGCAGACTACTTGGTTGGGGTCCGTGTGTCAATCGTAACCAATGCTTGGACACGCTGAGTGACGGCTCAAAATCGATTACAATGGCGTAGGTGTATACACTCTCTCTCTTCCCTTAAACTAAGAGATTACAATCACTTCATATCTTTCTTTCTACGAACTAACACTTTCTTCTTATACTATATCCTTATATGCAATCTTTTTTCTATATATTACCACCTTTGACCTAATCACTCCTGTGAATCCGGTGTTCATCTTGCTGTGCTAATGAGGTATGGCAACCTGGACCGATGCACATGTCTTCCTGGTCCTACGTTGTAGCTGACCGACTGGGCCCTCATAACAACTGATAAAGTTTTTTCTGGTTTCTTTTTAGAAATTCATATCTACCTAATTTTTTTTAAAATACTCTGTTGAACACCATTGTCTATCATACTAGTATTAATTGCATGTCACCAAGTAAGTTTTAAATCCTATTTCCTAATATTTCACTACAGTCATGTCAAATTTTCTCTATGTGATCTGTATATTTGCTTTTACTTACGTCGTAGAAAGTTCTTGGAATGTAAGTTTATATTTCAGCATTTATTTATGATAAACATTCAGGTTACTATAAATCATAATCCAAATTGTAATCTCTCGAAAGGATGTGACAAATATGATGTGATATACATAAATGGTCGTAATTTAACATCTTCAGTACATGTGTTTATAACAGCATCAGAACGCTTTTCTCTTCCATCAATTTTGATTATTCACAGTTCATCAGCTGAAGCTAATCCTGTAATAGAATGGGAGAATTTAAATGTTTCTTCTGGAAAAAGATTAAATATCGGTAATGTGACCCAGTCATATGCTCTTGTATTTTATAAAGTAAGTTTGTTTTATAAAAATAAAAAACACGGTACTGTCAGATATATCTCTTACTATATATATATATATATATATATATAACACGTGCGAGCAGCCTAGAGTCCTGATTGGTCCTGCTTTCCGCCTAGCCCAGCCAGTTAAGTCCAGAACACCAGTCTCAGCCTCCGCAATATGAATCATTATATTTCAAACATACTGAGTTTATATACAAACCGGACAGACCACAACGTACCAATAGAATATGAAAAAAAAACATTTGTACAAGAATTAGCTAGATGTGGCTGTGGATGAGGGAGGTAGTAATTAATATACTGGGTATAACTCAAGAATGGTCAAACGTATAATTATAGTTTATGGTCAGTCAGTCAGTCAGTCAGCTACAACGTAGGACCAGGCACATATGTGCATCGGTCCAGGTTGCCATACCTCATTAGCACAGCAAGATGAACAGCGGATTCATAGGAGTGGTTAGGTCAAAGGTTGCAATAAGGATATAGTATAGGAAGAAAGAATTAGTTCGTAGAAAGAAAGATATGAAGTGATTTAAGTCTCTTAGTTTAAGGGAAGACAGGGAGTGTATACACCGACGCCATTGTGATCGATTCTGAGCCATGTCACCAAGAGTCTCCAACCATTGATTACGATAGTCACGCGAACCCCAACCAAGTAGTCTGCATCTACCAACATGACTCAGACTAGAAGTTAGTGACTTCAGGCATTGATGCCACGTTTTGGTTTAACCGCCCCTAACTTTCTTCCAACCATCCCCTACCCCCGTTAGCATTGCACGTCGTGGTAATCGGTGTTCAGGCATACGTAACACGTGACCAAACCATTTCAGTCGATGAAGATTCACAACCTCAACAACTGATTTACCATCATTCTATAATACCCTGCATCTAACCTCACTATTACTCACCCAATGATCCCAGCAGATGCCAGCAATATTTCTAAGACATCTGTGGTCAAATACTAGTAGCTTACGAGTGTCTTCTACTCTTAATGGCCATGTTCTGCTGTTGCAAATTAAAACAGAACGGACTGCCGCGCAGTATGCTCATCTTTTTATTGATAGACGGATATCTCGCCTTCGCCACAGGTGACGTAAGTTGGCAAAAGCCAAACGAGCCTTTCGAATCCGTGCTGACATTTCGTCCGATACCAACTCATGAGGGCTGGTCAGACTTCCAAGATAAGTGAAATTGTCAACGCGTTCGACTACTTCACTCCCTATCCTTAGTTCAGGTGTTGACGCAGGCCAGTCCTGAAGCAACAACTTGCATTTAGAGGGAGAGAAGCGCATTCCAAACATCCTGGCATTGTTGCTCAGTACTACCAGAAGACTCTGCACTTTGTCAGCGTCTTCACCAAGCAGGACTATGTCATCTGCGTATTCTAAGTCTATAAGTGGACCTCCTGGAAGGAGATCAATACCCTAGAATTCAGTGGACGAGAATGTTATTTCCATCAATAGGTCTATGATGAAGTTAAACAAAAATGGAGAAAGTGGACAGCCTTGACGGACTTCACTTGAGGTTGCAAAAGTAGATGACAGTTCGCCATAAGCTCTGACTCGACTAGTAGTGTTCGAGTAGAGAGCCTTTATAAGGTTAATGTACTTCTGAAGTACTCCTTTCAGTGACAAACACTGCCACAGAGTCTCGCCGTCTACCGAGTCAAATGCTGCTTTTAAGTCAAGAAAAACCACCATTGTCGGACGCCGATAGGTATGCCTGTGTTCTAGAACCTGACGAATGGTGAATATGTGGTCGATGCAGCCACGAGCAGGTCTAAAGCCAGCTTGGTTCTCTCGTGTTTGCAGTTCACGAGTCTTAGTTAGGCGTCTGATAATTATCGAGGCTAGTATTTTAGATATTATATTAGTTAAACTAATCCCTCCGTGGTTGTCACAGGATGATTTTGACCCTTTCTTATATATTGGGACGATAAGTGATTGCGACCAGTCAGATGGGATAAAGTCTAATTCCCAGATCTTAGCTAAAATATTAGTCAACTTAATCGCTAAAATTGGACCACCATCTTTAAAGACCTGTGGAGCCAATCCATCTGGACTAGCTGCCCTTCCTCGTTTCAGATTAACTATAGCCTTTTGAACTTGAGCAAGAGTTGGGGGACCTACTTCAATGTTCCATTCACATTGTCTGGGAATGGAGGGTAGTTGTAGAGTAGCTGAAGGCCAGCTGAACTGTTCTCTAAAATGTTCCGCCCATTGTTCTAAACGTCTGGACTGGGAGCAGATGAGAGTATCATCTTTTTCCGAAATAATCTCACTTACACTTGACTTATTAATTCCAGTTTCTTTTATTAGTCTGTAAAGCTGTCTTGTGTTCCCTATAGTCGCCGCCTTTTCCATCTCTTTTGCTTTCGTTACCCACCACTGCTCACGGTCGTTCTTTAGACTTTTTCTTAACCTAGATCTGATTTGTTTTCGCTCTTCATCATGTTCAGAACCTGATGGGACGAGTTTGCGAGAATCCATCAGTGTGACAGACCTTGAAGAAATCCACTGATTCCTTGCAACTCTGTGGTTTAAGTCACTAATAGATGTCACTGCTGTTTCCACAGCTGATTGTATGCCCTTCCAAGCAACATCTGGGTCAGCCTCGTCTTCACAACTACCTAAGTGTGACCTCAGCTGTTCCTGGAACCTACTTTTGGTTTTCTCGTTACTCAACTCAGTTCTAACGGATCTTTTTAATGTGGCTGTTTTGCGTCCAGTGAGGCGCAAGCAGATGCGTGCCCGTATTAGGGCGTGGTCGGAGTCCAAGCAGGTACTCCAGAATGAGCGACAATCTTGTACCGACCCTCTCCAACGATGACTGATGGCAATATGGTCTATTTGAGTCCATCGTTGGTTTGGTGTAGGGGGTCGCCATGTTAGACGATGTCTCTCCTTATGCTTAAAATTTGTGTTTGCTAAAAATAAACGATTGTCTGAGCATGGCTGCAGCAGACGATCACCATTATCTGTTCGTTGTGTCGGAATACTAAAATATCCACCTAAATGCCTTTCTGTTTGGTTTAAACTGCCTATCTGAGCATTAAAATCACCTGCTACGAGTACTATGTCTGAGCGTCTAGCTTTCTGAAGAAGTTCGGACAGCTTTCTGTAAAATTCATCTTTCACATCATCTGAGCTGCAGTCAGTGGGAGCGTAGACAGAAACGACAAAAAGGCAACGACGTTTGTCCCTATCCTTCCGAGTTCTTACGTAGCCGTTCAGCCAAACAGCACATAGACGACTGTTAACGGGGATCCACTCTAGCAGTGCTTGTTCGGCCCTCATGCTTAGTGCTATACCTACACCTGCCAGTCCACGAGAACTGGCCATCGGGTCACCAGATACACGGAGGGTGTACCTCGTTGGCTCTTCGTTTTGCCGAGGTGAGGTCAAGTGAATGACCACACTGGAATCCTGTATGCGTGTTTCGGAGACACAGCACACGTCAATGGTAAGAGACTCTAGGGTTTTAGCCAAGGAAGCCTGCTGACCGATTTGACATAGGGTTCGTACGTTGAAGGCTCCAATGTGTAGTTTATGGGTCAAAATAAAGCTTATGATAAAAGGAATATGAATATGCATAGTTTAATTACGTAATAATTATACAATAGAAATATACGTTTAGTATTGGCCCATCAATAGATCCCACAAGTTACCATTCATTATTCTTGTCGGAACAACACTTGCTCAACCAGCTACGCTAGTGAAAGGGATTATACGTGACTACTAAGCTTTGATTGAGAAACTGAATAATAAAGTACGCATATATTTGTCATTCTGACCTACACCAGAACATGTGGGCCGAAACCTTGACTGGGAACATAGTCAGTTTCCTTCACTAAGATGGTCCTCTGAATGCCCTGGTACGGCCGAGAGTGGGGAGAGTTCGCTCTCCCTCTCGAAATACTCTCACACGGCCACGCGTATACAGCCTCTGCCAGGGAAGTCCTACTCATTGCATTCTCGTGGCGGGGGTGTTGTTTACGAAAATGAGAGGACGAAAAGCGAATGTTCGGCGCTTTAACCGGATTCCAAATCAGTGGTGCACATGGGCTCCAGTATCCTGCGGGAACAAATGGCGTATGAACCAATCGTTGGTCACCGGCTACCATGGGACTGCATCTCCTTACGATGCTCCACTGCCTTGTGGGTTAGACCTTTAGGTCAAAGGCTCGGGGAGTGGCCCCCTAAGATAACCACCTGCTTCGGTTTGGGCACCCGGGCAGTATCACAGCCCACACACAAATTGATGAACTCTTTATGCCTATGGAAATTACCTTTCTCGCTTTGAAAAACAAACAATTGATTCAGATTATTATCATTACAATTATTGTCATTATTAATACTATTATTATTATTATTATTATTATTATTATTATTATTATTATTATTATTATTATTATTATTATTATTATTAATATTATTTTCCACATTATTCACCCTCTTTTATACTTATACAGCGGCTCGTCTTTGGTGGAAATTCGACTGTATCTAAACGTTCTCGAGTCACTGTCCGGTTGAAAATTGTATGTTACCACCGAATACGAGGACTGAAGCAGTTTTTCTGAAACCACGTGCACCATTCAAACTGGATGCCTTCAACGTTCGCACATTTATGCAGGTCGGACAACAGATAGGACTTGCTATGTCTTTGGAAAGTCTTAATATTGATGCTTGTTGTCTATCCGAGACCCGTATTCAAGACTCTGGCGAAGTACTACAAATTCGCTCTCCATCTGTCGCTTCGAAAAGCTTGTTTTACGTGCGCTTATCCGGGGACCCCGTGGCATCTTCGTCTGGTCTTGCTGGCGTTGGTGTCGCACTAAGCGCTAGAGCTGAGGCAGCATTAATCGATTGGATCCCCATTAACACTCGGTTATGTGCTGTTAGATTAGAAAGTTCCATCAAAGTGAGAAGAAATCGGCGTGAGAAACGATGTCTTTTCGTCATCTCCGCCTATGCCCCGACAGATTGCAGCCCGGATGCAATCAAGGATGAGTTTTACCACCAGTTAACTGTTCTTCTCCAGAAAGTGCGTTCGACAGATATTGTAGTACTAGCCGGAGACTTGAATGCTCAGGTCGGGCGTCTAGGCACAGAAGAGAGTCGTTTAGGTGGCCGATGGGGACTCGTTGGTCGCAGGTCAGATAACGGGGACCGTCTACTGCAACTTTGCACAGACCATAACCTGTTTCTGGCTAGCACTAACTTTCGACACAGTCATCGCCGATGTGCCACCTGGCGTCCTCTCTCTGCATCTCAAGCCTGGACTCAGATTGATCACATCGCGATCAGCTACCGCTGGCGTGGTTGTGTACAAGACTGCCGCTCCTTTTGGAGTACCTATCTGGACTCTGACCATGCCTTGGTCTGCGCCAATCTTGCCTTACTTTTCAGTGGCCAACGAAGTGACCACCACCAAAAGATTGATGTTAGCAAGCTGGTTGCAACTTCTGTTGCAAGTAAGTATCGAACCGAGCTAGCCTCTAGGCTAGCTACTACTCCACCGAAAAGTATAGATGAGCATTAGTTGCAATTGCATGACGCCATGAAAATGGCGGGAACAGTCAGTTGTGGGTTTGCGAAACGTCCCGCTTCTAAGCACTGGGTTTCTTCTGGTTCCTTACAACTCATTGAAGCCCGTCGGTCTACTCCGGGTGACCGTGAGTTTGACCATAAACGAAGGAACTTACGTAAGGAAATTGGGCAAAGCTTGCGTAAGGACCGAGAAGCCTGGTGGTCGATGCGTGCTAATGAGCTGGAAGCAGCAGCTGCATCTGGTAACTACCGGAAGCTCTTCCAACTCATCCGAGCCACTGGCAGCAAGAAGTTTGGTGTGAGTGAAACAATTCGCGAGGATGATGGGATGCCAATCATTAACATCCATCGACGTCTTGGACGATGGGCAGAATTTTTCGAAGGGCAGTTCAACTGGCCTGCTGCTCCGGCAACATCGGTCAGACTGTCCTGCCCTCCATGACCGGTGACGACTGATCTACCAAATGAGGAGGAAGTCCGCAAGGAACTCCAACTCTTGAAGCGTTACAAATCACCTAACCCAGATGACTTACCTCCGGCTCTTTTTAAAGATGGTGGTGACTTTTTGACTAAGGAATTGACGACGTTGTTTACGAAGGTTTGGGAACTAGAGAGTGTACCAACGTCATGGAATGAGTCGATAGTTGTCCCTATCTTTAAAAAGGGTTCACGTCGTTCCTGTAATAACTATCGGGGGATAAGTTTACTTCCGATTGCGTCCAAGCTATTGGCTTCCGTCATTCTTCGTAGGTTGTTCAAAACCCCAGAAAGATTGACTCGCGAGGAGCGGGCTGGGTTTCGTTCTGGTCGAGGATGTATTGATCATATCTTCACCCTCCGCCAAATGTTAGAACACCGCCATACTTTTCAAAGGCCAACAATCGTAGTGTTTCTTGACATCAGCTCTGCCTTCGATTCGTTGGATAGGACTGTTCTCTGGGATTGTCTATTGAAGAAGGGTGTGCCTGAGAAGTTTATTAACATCCTAAAAGCCCTATACACAAACACCTCAGGCAGAGTGAGGGCATACAACCACCTCTCTCCATTGTTCCATTCGAGCAGTGGGGTTAGGCAGGGTTGCCCAATCTCACCATTCCTCTTCAACTTTGCCATCGATGACATTCTGGAAACAGCTCTGATGAATGTAAGTAATGGTGGTGTGGATCTGTTTCCTGGAGAAAGACTTCTCGACCTTGAGTATGCGGACGATATTGTCTTACTGTGCGATAATGTCCAAGGCATGCAATCCGCACTTAGTCAGTTGGCAATCAGTATCCGTAGGTATGGTATGTGCTTTGCACCTTCAAAGTGCAAAGTACTTCTGCAAGACTGGAAGGATCGTAATCCTGTACTCACCCTGGGTGGTGAGCAGATAGAAGTAGTCGAGAAGTTAGTGTATCTGGGTAGCTGCATAAGTACTGGTGGAGGTGTGAGTGATGAGACCAGTGTACGTATAGTGAAAGCCAGAGCGGCTTATGCCAATCTGGGCCACCTTTGGCGCTTTCGTGATGCTAGTCTGGCTGTAAAAGGCCGGATCTACAACGCGTCGGTGAGAGCAATTTTGCTCTATGCTTGTGAAACCTGGCCTCTCCGAGTTGAGGATGTTAGACGACTCTCTGTGTTCGATCATCGCTGTCTCCGAAGGATTGCTGACATCCAGTGGCAACACCATGTCAGTAATGCAGAGGTTCGGCATTGTGTGTTCGGGCACAGAGATGATAATTCAATTGGTGTCACCATCTTGAAACACCGACTTCGGTGGCTTGGACATGTTCTTCGAATGTTGTCCCAGAGAATTCCACGTCGTGCATTATTTCCCGACTCTGGGAGTGGTTGGAAGAAGCGGAGAGGTGGTCAGTGCATGACATGGTGTCGTGGTATGAAAGAAAGCTGCAAAGGACTGGCTTCTGTTGGTCCTTCAGGACTCCCTGGTTGGGGTCTGAGAGATGGTGCTACACAGTGGCTAGAGACGTTATCAGATATGGCTCAGAATAGAAGCCAGTGGCGATCCTGCTGTAAACTTCTTTTACTTTCTTCATAAAAAGTGGTTGTGTCTCCTTTACCTGAAAGATTTCTTCTGATTGTACCTTTTCGTTCCGTCGTTACTACCACACTACCTTACTTCAATCTCTTCGTCATTGTTCTCTTTTTCTTTTGCGCTCCTTAGATTTTTTTCTACTTCTCTTCGAATTCTCATTGTTTTGTGTGGCGCATATATATTGGCGCTCTCTTGTACCAATATTCATGTGTTCAAATAATAATAATTATTGTTATTATAATAAGATGGTCCACTTATAATTTGTCGCCCAACGCTTGACCTTGAGGTGACATCTGAGCACAGGCACATAATTTGCCTAAACTCTACATCCATATCACGAATGAAGTCATTATTGCTAGAGAAGACAAAGATAAACCCATTAATCAGACTCAGTTTTACTCAGTACAAGTTTGTGTACTTGTTTTTAGCGTTTGTAGGAGTGCCTGTGGTATACTAATAATTGGCTGCTCAAACCGAAGTAGGTCGAGCGAAGTTCTAACGTCTCAGCCTATTGGTTGTGAAATGCAAATGCTACAACCTGTAAGCAACCATTTCCTGCTGGGCTTTTACAAAGAATATTATCATAGCATATAAGTTTTACAGTATTACAAATTATTCTGAACACGTTATGAAAAGGACCTCTTCTTTTATTCGGAGATATAACGTTACATATATTCCATTTTGCTTTTTTGTTTAAAAATCAACCAGATGCTTGAATATAATGATTTATCTGATGATGTAAACATGTCCATTTATCCTCAAAATTCTGATCAAATTCGAATCCACCATTTAAATGAATATAACTGGAAGCGTAATTCGAACAACGATAGTTCATTATTCTTTGAAAATAATTTATTTGAAATTACATACAATGGAAGTAGTCCAAAATTGACTTCACCATACGAGCAAGTTATTATTAAGGTAAGTTAAAAAATATAATGGAACGCTAGTCTTAGTTTTGTTCTTTAATATGTATAACATATTTGTCTTTACGTAAATTTTGTTCAGGCTGTTGTATTGATTATTGTATTTGGGTCTATGTATGGCATATGTACATTTTATCAGTTTATGGGGTTATGAACCGTTATTGGTTATAATCATCTGTCATAACTCTGTGTATCAACCACGTCTTAAATAAACACAGGGCGCAAGAAAAATCAACGAGACAAAACACAAAAGGGATGAATTAATTTCAATTATAGAGCATATTATTCAGCTCGAAACAACGTAGAACCTGACATTTGTGTATCAACTCAAATTGCTACACCATATCAGCACAGTGAGATGAATTTATGAAGACAAATGTTGGAGCAGTAAAAATAGTAACTTTAGTGATGATAGTAAAGAAACATTAGGTATAGACACCATACTTCAAGAAGAAAAGATGAATTCACAGGATATGAAACAATAGGATAGTTTCGAAACTGAAGACACAAGGATAGACAAATGGTGAATGCATTTAAGCCATGCTACTTAACATCTTCAACCATAGGTTAATCACGTAGATCCCAATCAGATAATCTGTATCTACCTATACAGTTCAGATTAGTAGTCGGTAACTGCATGGATTGATGTCACATCCTAGTTTGGCTGCTCTTAGCTTTCTTCCAACCGAGTTTTCACAATTATTTCTATAATAATTTCCATTAAAGAAACTTGTTATTATTTCAGTTAGAATTTGTTTTGTTTTGTTTTCTAATTTCAGTTTCGAATAAGTAATACAACTCAACATCATAAAGATATGCCACATTTATTATTTAAACCTGGTTGGATTATTCAATTTGATATTTTATTCAATAATTTAACTAGTAATTTTAATCAAAGTCGATTTGGTTTACAATTAATGTTGATGTCAAATTTAACTTTGGATCCAATTGAAGAATTTCGTAAAGAAGTTTTATTCAGTATTGACGATGAATTAACACCTGGAAATTTTGAGGTAAAATTTTTGTTTTTCTGAAACGAAAACAACAATGTGTAAAAAAATGTTCCTCTCAGAAAGTAGAATGAATTTTATTCTGTACACATTAGTGACTAATTTTATGAGGTAATTTCTGGTATTCTAGTGACGAAAAGGTTTGACTGGTGGAGTTCAGCTATATGTAGTGTGAGACAGTTGGTTTACTCACCAATGACATTGGAAGATGATTGCGCTATTTCACGGATTGATTAAAGTTAAAAATGTAAACTATTGAACGATGGGTCATTTATCTGGAGGTTTAGTGTTCATCTAGAGACCTAATGAAGGTCGTGGGTTCGTTTCCTCGTGGTGTCATGAATGGTAATCTGTCATACTAAGACAGTATGGCTGTTCATTTCTCCTGGTTTGATTAAGGTAATTGTCTACTTAGAGTCAGTCTGTCATGTAAACTATAGAAATTGATGCTTTTGGTCGAGTTTCGTTCTCTAAGCTGGGTAGTTTTGTTGTGAGGTTTTCATTGTTCTTCTGAATAAAACCAACGAAAACTTCAGATGGAAGTGAAGTGTTTGAATTTCCCTACAAATAATAAACAACTTATCCTTGTCATCCACCTGGGCTACAAACTTTCCCCGTCATCTTATATTTGTCTTTGTGTGTTTGTGAAACTTAGTTATCAGACGTAAGATAAGCAAATCAATTCAGTATTTTAATCCTATAAAAGTGTTCTAGTCCAAGGGAATATGTTATGTAGCAAAAAAGCAATAACAATCATCTTACTTAGCGTTACTTAGTTAATGAAGTGTGGAATTTTCACCAGACAATATTTCGACAAGTTCCTCTGACTTTATATGTATATATATACATAATAGAATTAAAGCCTTTATCAGTATGGGGTTGTGGAGATTATAGTGTTATTGATTGAGATCTTGAACCGACTGATATCAGACCACCGTTGAAAACGTGGAAGCTCTGGACGGCCGTTTCGTCCTATTGTGGGGCTGCTCAGCAGTAAGCGTACACGATCCCGCTCGCTGGTTTCGAACCCAGGGCCTTCAGTCTCGCGCGCGAACGCTCAACCTACCAGACCATTGGTGAATGCTGGTGAGCGGCCTATGCTCCTTCACGAGGAGTAACAGGCGTAAGTAAGTAAGTTAGTGTTTGAATAATAAGCAATTTATTGTTATCAGTAAATTTAAGATGGCTTTCATACGTCTAAATAGTTCTTTGTACATATATATATCCATCTTTTCTTAAATACCAGATGACCAATATTTTATTAGGTGAATCAGTATCTAAAATGAATAATAATGCTGAACAATATTCAAGTAATTCAACGCATCCATCAGCATTTCTTCAAATCAAACCAGCTTGTTTCATTGATAATCGTTTGCGAACAGTTCAAAATAGTCGTAATGTTTATATTGGTAAACATCAAGATTTATTAGAGAATAATAAAATTGGAAATGATAATTTATCTCAATTTCATTTACTTCATTATTCATTTCCATCAGTATTTTATGCGGATCGATTAAATCCTAATAGTAACAATGATACTAACCTGAAACCTATTGGTATTCGTTTATTAAATGTATCATTTGGTACATCGACTGATGGATTTTATGCTAAATCGAAATTTATTGTTTGGTAAGTTGATCTTATTTTGATTATTGTCTGTTTGTTTGTTATCGTTGTTATTAAGTTTTCTCTTTGTTCTTTTTTCTTTTTCCTTTAATATTCAGTTATTCATTGGTAATCAAATTTAAAGCCTGGAATAAGCGTATTTTATTTCAAGTTGTCATGACTAGTTAAAATGAACAGGAAGTATAATAATTATTATGAAATATTCGTCTATCAATTAAGGGACGAGTATACTGTGTGGCAGTTCGTTCTGTTTTATTTTACGGCTGCGAAACATGGCCATTAAGAGTTGAAGATACTCATAAGCTACTAGTATTTGACCACAGATGTCTTAGAAATATTGCTGGCATCTGCTGGGATCATCGGGTAAGTAATAGTGAGGTTAGATGCAGGGTATTATAAAATGATGGTAAATCAGTTGTTGAGGTTGTGAATCTTCATCGACTGAGATGGTTGGGTCACCTGTTACGTATGCCTGAACACCGAGTACCAAGACGCGCAATGCTGACTAGTGTTGGGCGTGGTTGGAAGAAAGTTAGGGGTTGCCAAACCAAAACGTGGTATCATTGCTTGAAGTCACTAACTTCTAGTCTGAGTCATGTTGGTAGATACAGACTACTTGGTTGTGGTCCGTGTGACTATCGTAACCAATGCTTGGAGACTCTTATTGACATGGTCCAGGATCGATCACAATGGTCAAATGTTGGAACTGTTACGCTACACTGATGTATGCCTAGAAGACGTTTACTTAGGAAAATTTCGACTGACTAGCTATATCTTGTTTACAAACTATTTCACATTGTTAAGCCTGAGCTATTTTTTAGTTTTCTGATAATACAATGCATTACACCTAGTTTTTATAATACATCATTTGAACAGTATTAGTACACATATTTATCTATAAAACTGATCAATAACTGTAGGCTTTTAACCTTTGTTACAGTGCTGCTATATATATATATCAGTAATTGACAACACATGTTTATATTTTCAATAATAATCAAAGTTCACCATACATTCCATTGCACACGAACTGACACCTTAGATATTCCGTTACTAAACAATCTCATCATATTTTCGTGTGACTAGGTGTAATCAGAATGAATGTATAGAATATATTGAGGGGCGATCAGTGTGATGCGTTGTGAGAATCATATGCATCATGGGCTGATCCTAGATCATCATTGAATGTTGAGACATACTAAATAGTAGTTTAAGATCCCTCAGCAATGGGGTTTCATGACCCTTTGGAGAATTATTATGAAGTCAGGATTTTTTCGGTGTTTACAGTCTTGAATGCTTGAGATGTGATTCTATCACTCCAAATGCAGAATGTTGCTTCAGGGCAACTGCCTTAGCGTCTAAATTAATAACAGGGATTGAAGTAGTCGATTGCATCAACCAGTCAGCTACAACCTTGGACCAAGCAACAACCACTTCACTTAGGGTCTCATCAGCAGTGATTAGTCGGTGTCTGGGAAAGGTTCGGCACGGAATCAGGAAGTTCGACTGACCTTTCCTGACTTGGATCGCTTGTGGTGTAGGCAGGATACCCGTACGCAAACCAAAGGATGAGATAATTATATATTAGTTCGCTTCGTTCTACTTTATGGGTGTGAAACACGGTTTTTAATACAGAATATTTATAGGTTACTATTTATTAGTCGTGTCTTTGGAGTATTGCTTGTGTAGTTTTGAACCATAGAGTGATGAATACACAGGATATTAGGGAAGGATGTCAAATTGACTGGTTAGTTAGTGGATCTTCGTCAACCGAGGGGGTTGGAACATGTGTTACGTATTGCTAATCAAAACATACTCCTTAGGAACTGAGTCCCGAAACCCTATATCTGTTTCTTTATTTTATACCTGGTTTTCCTTACCACTACTGACACTACTACTTTCGTAAACGCCCTGAAATAATTTTATCGCACTTTGTGGTATGGCAACTTGGACCGATGCACATGTGTCACGAACTACATTGCGTATGATCGACTGATTTAGTGTCAAAGGAATTATGTTTGTTGATTATTCTGAGCCATAATGTATTGAGTTCTTGCCGCCCGGTGTCCTTCGGACACTATACTTCAACCGCCTTCTGAATTAGATCATGAATTAAAAGTAAGCAATGTATATTCCAATAAATTCAAACAATACAATATACCATAATGATGGCATTACTGTTCATACAAGGATCTCCTAGCATTTTTCCGACTCGTCCACTAGCGCTGATTCACCGAAAAATCGAACAATCAATGTGTTCTGATTCGAGCCTGGTTAGGACATTTAATAGTCAGAACATTGTCAGTCTAACATATTGTTCGGTATTGTCATTGAAATGTCTCGTGTTGCAGTGACTAGATTTAGTCAACAATAAATAACTTAAATTTCAAATGAATATTTAGTTGTTCATTGTACTGTACCTGTCATTCATATCTGTTTTCTGTTTATACAATACTCCCGACCGTTGTTGCTACCTTGACGTGGTGGTCGGGCTTGCCTATCGTGATGAAGCAACCGAGCTATACTGGCTGGAACAACCGTTCCTCAAGGTCCTACGATGTCAGACAGGTCGGTTGAAGAGCGGTAAGACTAAAAGCAACAAACCGAAGGCGAAGTCGTACTGCTGACTGTACAGAGGTGTGACAGCAGTAAGGTGTTTCCTTCAGACAACCAGCATGACAGCGATGCTGCCTTCCCACAAGGAGGGGTGGGGTTAGAAAAGGTCGACCCTAAAAATGCACACCTCACCTTACCTCACGGATTTCCGTCTCCGGCGGTAAGGCCCTTTGAAGAACGGAGCTAACACGTCGAAAACCTCCCACAAAAAGGCCGTGCGCGACCGGCCTCAAGCAGTTGTCCCTTGGGCACTGCGGTCACGCTCTCAGGTCACTGAGACCACCTCTAATCCAATTTCCTTTTCAGGTACCTCCAGAAGAACCCTTCCACGGTGTGGGCAACCGGGAAGTGATAACCGCCCTCATACCTCTAACAGCACCCAAGACCACTGTATTCATAATCAACCTTCCTCTTCAATTCCTATTATTCCTCCTACATCGACTTTCAACCCTAAACTTCCTCCTTCGGCTTCCTCCTCAAGTGTCACCATAGCCAACGATTCTAGTGCTCAAAACTCTGTCCCAGGTCTACTGAAACCTCGCTCCAAACTACACATTGGAGCTTTCAACGTACGCACTCTATGTCAAATCGGTCAGCAGGCTTCCTTGGCTAAAACCCTAGAGTCTCTTTCCATTGATGTATGCTGTGTCTCTGAAACACGCATACAGGATCCCAGTGTGGTCATTCACTTGACCTCACCTCGGCAGAACGGAGAGCCAACGAGATACACCCTCCGTGTATCTGGTGACCCGATGGCCAGTTCTCGTGGACTGGCAGGTGTAGGCATAGCACTAAGCATGAAGGCCGAACAAGCACTGCTAGAGTGGATCCCCGTCAACAGTCGTCTATGTGCTGTTTGGCTGAACGGCTACGTAAGAACTCGGAAGGATAGGGACACACGTCGTTGCCTTTTTGTCGTTTCTGTCTACGCTCCCACTGACTGCAGCTCAGATGAAGTGAAAGATGAATTTTACAGAAAGCTTTCTGAACTTCTTCAGAAAGCTAAACGCTCAGACATAGTACTCGTAGCAGGTGATTTTAATGCTCAGATAGGTAGCTTAAACCAAACAGAAAGGCATTTAGGTGGATATTTTAGTATTCCGACACAGCGAACAGATAATGGTGATCGTCTGCTGCAGCCATGCTCAGACAATCGTTTATTTTTAGCAAACACAAATTTTAAGCATAAGGAGAGACATCGTCTAACATGGCGACCCCCTACACCAAACCAACGATGGACTCAAATAGACCCTATTGCCATCAGTCATCGTTGGAGAGGGTCGGTACAAGATTGTCGCTCATTCTGGAGTACCTGCTTGGACTCCGACCACGCCCTAATACGGGCACGCATCTGCTTGCGCCTCACTGGACGCAAAAAAGCCACATTAAAAAGACCCGTTAGAACTGAGTTGAGTAACGAGAAAACCAAAAGTAGGTTCCAGGAACAACTGAGGTCACACTTAGGTAGTTGTGAAGACGAGGCTGACCCAGATGTTGCTTGGAAGGGCATACAATCAGCTGTGGAAACTGCAGTGACATCTATTAGTGACTTAAACCACAGGGTTACCAAGAACCAGTGGATTTCTTCAAGGTCTGTCACACTGATGGATTCTCGCAAACTCGTCCCATCAGGTTCTGAACATGATGAAGAGCGAAAACAAATCAGATCTAGGTTAAGAAAAAGTCTAAAGAACGACCGTGAGCAGTGGTGGGTAACGAAAGCAAAAGAGATGGAAAAGGCGGCGACTATAGGGAACACAAGACAGCTTTACAGACTAATAAAAGAAACTGGAATTAATAAGTCAAGTGTAAGTGAGATTATTTCGGAAAAAGATGATACTCTCATCTGCTCCCAGTCCAGACGTTTAGAACGATGGGCGGAACATTTTAGAGAACAGTTCAGCTGGCCTTCAGCTACTCTACAACTACCCTCCATTCCCAGACAATGTGAATGGAACATTGAAGTAGGTCCCCCGACTCTTGCTGAAGTTCAAAAGGCTATAGTTAATCTGAAACGAGGAAGGGCAGCTGGTCCAGATGGATTGGCTCCACAGGTCCTTAAGGATGGTGGTCCAATTTTAGCGATTAAGTTGACTAATATTTTAGCTAAGATCTGGGAATTAGACTTTATACCATCTGACTGGTCGCAATCACTTATCGTCTCAATATATAAGAAAGGGTCAAAATCATCCTGTGACAACCACGGAGGGATTAGTTTAACTAATATAATATCTAAAATACTAGCCTCGATAATTATCAGACGCCTAACTAAGACTCGTGAACTGCAAACACGAGAGAACCAAGCTGGCTTTAGACCTGCTCGTGGCTGCATCGACCACATATTCACCATTCGTCAGGTTCTAGAACACAGGCATACCTATCGGCGTCCGACGATGGTGGTCTTTCTTGACTTAAAAGCAGCATTTGACTCGGCAGACGGCGAGACTCTGTGGCAGTGTTTGTCACTGAAAGGAGTACTTCAGAAGTACATTAACCTTATAAAGGCTCTCTACTCGAACACTACTAGCCGAGTCAGAGCTTATGGCGAACTGTCATCTACTTTTGCAACCTCAAGTGAAGTCCGTCAAGGCTGTCCACTTTCTCCATTTTTGTTTAACTTCATCATAGACCTATTGATGGAAATAACACTCTCGTCGACTGAATTCTCGGGTATTGATCTCCTTCCAGGAGGTCCACTTATAGACTTAGAATACGCAGATGACATAGTCCTGCTTGGTGAAGACGCTGACAAAGTGCAGAGTCTTCTGGTAGCACTAAGCAACAGTGCTAGAATGTTTGGGATGCGCTTCTCTCCCTCTAAATGCAAGTTGTTGCTTCAGGACTGGCCTGCGTCAACACCTGAACTAAGGATAGGGAGTGAAGTAGTCGAACGCGTTGACAATTTCACTTATTTTGGAAGTCTGATCAGCCCTAATGAGTTGGTATCGGACGAAATGTCAGCACGGATTCGAAAGGCTCGTTTGGCTTTTGCCAACTTACGTCACCTGTGGCGAAGGCGAGATATCCGTCTATCAATAAAAGGACGAGTATACTGCGCGGCAGTCCGTTCTGTCTTACTTTACGGCAGCGAAACATGGCCTTTAAGAGTAGAAGACACCCGTAAGCTACTAGTATTTGACCACAGATGTCTTAGAAATATTGCTGGCATCTGCTGGGATCACCGGGTAAGTAATAGTGAGGTTAGACGCAGGATATTAGGAAATGATGGTAAATCAGTTGATGAGGTTATGAATCTTCATCGACTGAGATGGTTGGGCCACGTATTACGTATGCCTGAACACCGATTACCACGACGTGCAATGCTAACCGGGGTAGGGGATGGTTGGAAGAAAGTTAGGGGCGGCCAAACTAAAACGTGGCATCAGTGCTTGAAGTCACTAACTTCTAGTCTGAGCCATGTTGGTAGATGCAGACTACTTGGTTGGGGTTCGCGTGACTATCGTAATCAATGGTTGGAGACTCTTGGTGACATGGCTCAGAATCGATCACAATGGCGTCGGTGTATACACTCCCTGTCTTCCCTTAAACTAAGAGATTAAATCACTTCATATCTTTCTTTCTACGAACTAATTCTTTCTTCCTATACTATATCCTTATTGCAACCTTTGACCTAACCACTCCTATGAATCCGGTGTTCATCTTGTTGTGCTAATGAGGTATGGCAACCTGGACCGATGCACATATGTGCCTGGTCCTACGTTGTAGCTGACTGACTGACTTATACAATACTATTTTGTGATGAAAAGTGCTGCTTGATTTGTAACAAATGATGTATATCACTTATATAAGGGTTTCGTAGAGATGGCTGAATTTCTATGGTGTGCATATCGTGTTTAGTGGTAACTAGTTTTGAGATTTCTAAAGAAACGTCATAACCAGTGGAGTTCAGCCACATCATGTGTGAAGCATTGACCCACCAGTGGTACTGGAAAAGTTTTGCAGTATCGCGAATTGAGTGGAGTTAGAAATGTAAATCATTAGATGCCAACTCAGTGTTCTTAATGTTAAACTCATATCCTAAGACCTGATGGTCCCAGGTTTGGTCTTCTTTGGCGAGGACGCCACTGCTGAGTAGCTCCATACTAAAACGAAGCAACTGTCTAATGTCTCCTGGTTCTCAGTGATGGTCTAAGGTCGGTCTGTGATGCAGGCTATAAAATCATTTATGATCATCCATATCCATCCAAGTTGAATTTTCAGAAATAAATTGATAACTGTATTATAAGATTACCTCGTCTCAACTGACTGCTTTCTATGCTTAATATTTAATCCTTCCAGGTTGCTTTAACAAGCAGAATGGTTTGTTATTGAAACAATATCATTCTGATATTTGTATTTTTTCAGTCTTCCTTTAATAAATTACATTAGAAAATAATCATTTATCACATTACATATGACATAACTAATCCTATAACTCATCATAATGTACAATATAATACAACTAACTTATTCACCAAGTACTTGGATGTAAGTTACGGTTTAAGTGTAAGAGCTAATAATAGCAACCGGTTGTTCAACTCAAAATGCGTTTCGAACCTAAGGCCTAGTGGCAAGAAGTTGAACGCTTTAATCACCCAACTCTCGCTTCACATTCATGATTGCTTAAAACAATTAGAAGTTCTGTTGTGACTGAACTTAGATCGATTTTTACCCCGTGCCAATTGTTGTGTCCTTGACTGGAAGATTAGAGAGCAGCGTATTTATCGATCGATTCAATGACACGTAAACACGCACGGACGGCCTAGAGTCTCGATTGGACCTGCTTCCCTGTCTAGCCCAGTCAGTTGAGTCCAGAACACAAGTCACAGCCTCGGAGATATGAATCGTTATATTTCAAACATACTCTGTTTATATACCAACCAAACATACCAGATCGTACCATAAAATAGAAAACGACATCTGTACAATTATAAATAACGGCCAATAGGGAATATCCATTTAGAGTCCAAGGACGCCATTAGACTTAACATGATAATTATTGGTAAATTCCTCTGCATCCACAACAAGTTCCTACTCTGATGTAATTCGTTAGTACACTATATAGTTGCTCTGAATGAAAATAGTTGCTTTTATCAGTAATAAAACGCAAATTTATCATGATAAATAATTTAAGATTTTTGGATGAGTGCACATTTTGCGAACTGTCTAGAATATATATATATAATTCCACTAAAAAGGAAGATAGGAATGGGATTGAATAAAATACAGTTACATTTATATTTACCAGTCTCGTAGTCTGAATAAGGACATAAAGCATACGACCACTTAACTAATATGGATCTAATCCGATTAAGAAGACAGTTACTTTGTTTTACTACACGTTAGATATGAGGTGAAACCAGTTAGAAAATCGCCATATGACAAAATATTTGTCTTTGGTCGTACATTACAAATCCCCAACAGTGTGTACTTGCAATCCTACAAACGACCAAATTCCGAAGAACATTTATGTCTAGTAATCGGAACGTCTCCAGATTATGATCTCTTGGACTTCTAAGCCGCTGAGAAATATCCATATCGTCTCAATGGTGCCTTTGGATAATCATCTTTCATTTGGAGAGCGAGAACTATCGTCCATTAACGTTTGATGTGAATAGGTAGGATAATCCAGTTAGTTACTAGACCGGAACTCGCATATTTACAACCAGTGCTTAATATCCAAGCCTATTGTTTTGTCATATACTGACACGGTAGATCCCTAAAGAGTTTACATAAACAGTAAGAGTCAGTGTTCACTTTGTCCTTCTCGTGTACTCATTGAATAAATCATGCATTCTATATTTCAAAGTTTCATTATTAATTGCAAATATTTAAACCCAGTACATTCTTTGCTTTCCCAAGGACTGCGTCGTTTGGTCTTGGCAACCCGCCTACTGATAATCTATCTTCTTTATTGATTGGATTAATTATATTCTCGATGCTAATCATTGTTAGCTCTGTAGTTTTAGGCATTCTACTTGTCATTGTTTTACGTCGAAGCACTACTATTATCAATAATGACAGACAACCGATTCTTAGTCATTTTGTTAATGATCCTATCGCTTAAATTGAATTTTTGCCCTTTTATATATTTTGTTCAAATTTTCGTTATTCCTTGAGGAGAGACAGGGTGAGGTAAACAAGAACCTGAGGAAAAAACCACAAATCCCATGAATCGTTAATTATTATTTTATGATTTTTTTCATTGTTGATTGTATTCTCTTGTATTAATTCATTTGTGCCTTTATAATATGCGGAAATCCACATTTAATATATATATACTTCTGTGATTTGCATTGAGAAAATATTGATTACACTGTTCTGTGTTAGCTGGATAATTGTGGCCGAGAAATGGGTTATACAAAAAAATTAACCAAAATCAGGTAGAGTGAAAGAGGGGTCAACAATTTCCTTCTTAACTCTGTACAATCACAAATATGGGTATGAATTTAAGGGAAAACAGATTAAATCAACAAATGGAATAGGACTGATATCAAGGTTTATGAACACATCCGCTCTACTGGGACTATCTCCAATCATTGATTATTACTACCACGCAGACTAAAGAGAGAAATTCTGACTCTTCCAGGAAAGGCTACGACTAGTGGTTTCATGGTCTGGTATTATACTTAGAATGCCTACCCCTAGCTTTTCTTCAAGCCACTGATGGAGGTTAATGGATGATATAGATTTCAGTCACCACAGTCGATCAACATTATTCTATAAACGGACTCGCCATTTCTATGCAGTACTCTACATTTAACTCTAGGGACTACTACAATTGCTAAGTCGTTCATCAATAAAAGGCAAAACAATCATGACTTCGGCCAGTCTTCAACGACTGACCAGATGTAAATATCTCAAACTCACACGAGGTTAGTCGCTGCTTAAATGGCTTAGTGGTAACGCTTCGAACAGTGATGTGGTTTTGAATTCAATACGGAGAATCCGTCTTCAAGATTATAGGTACGCTTTGTCGAGTAATCTCAGCCGGCACGAAACATAGGCCGACGCCGTTCCCAATCGGTTACCTCTATGATACTAATTTGAAGTTTCCTCACATATTCAAAGCAAAAATAGATTATGTGAGTGAGTGTTGGTTCTATATGATAGATATCCTTATTCTAATAAGATCGTTAAATTATTATTCAAGATGCAAACCCACAAAAATCAAGTTATGGATTATATACAAAATAAAGAATTAACGATTTAATCTAGCACCAGAGAAGTGTTCCATACTAGCACGCAATCGGTTTTGAGTCAAAATAACTTATATGCAGATATGTAATACCACTTTAGCTGTTAAAATCAAATTAGATGTAGGTTTTTCCAGTAGAAAATCCGAAAGTCTAATGACTAGTGAGCAACTATTCATCTAATCATCGTAGCTAAATTTATCTGTAACATTCTTTTAAAGTGTGGTGTGATTTTCAAAATAAAAAGTGATCATATCTAAGCGTATAGCTTGTTAGTTGGATTAAAAATTGCTCCTAGAAGCAAACTAGTTTCAAGGATAATAATACTTAATCACTTCAGTCAATATATAGGACCAGATCACTACAGCTCTTGTGTAAAATATTAAATATGTAAACTGTTATACTCAAGTTCAAAACAGGGACAAAATGTAGTTCATTTGCTGTTCGAATCCGTTATGTAATGATTCATGGTTTAGCTTATTTCATTTCAGTAAACGGAATGCACCGACTAAGACACTAAACAAGGGAGATTGTTTCGGTGAATTCATTTTTAAAGCTGTGCAATCGCAAATGTATATACTTATTTTGCAGGATAATAATTACAATAATAAACTTCTGTTAGACATTACGACAGTGAAGCAGAATAAACAAAGCTATTAGAAAAAAGATTTTCTTTTTGAAACAAGGAAACTAGTAGTCGTGTGATTGCTAATGGCTTATATATTCATCAAAAGATAGGGAAATTATCATTGGGAAAAGGATGGCCCAGCGTGATAAGATAAAACGTTGAAATCGGGATTAAATATAATCAGGAGGTTCAGAGAATCAGAAGTAAACCAGTTGGGGGTAGGAGGTTTAAGGGAATGGAAGCAGATAGCTATAAAGGAAGAGTATGAAGAAAAGAAGTAATGATAACTTTGTCACAATAGCAAAGACTAGTTACCATTCAGATGCATAGTAATTAAGTATTATGGTAGCTGTCCCGACCGGCATAAGTTATATCTTGATGTGTATGTTTGGTTTGTCTGTCATGATGATCCAGTCGAGTTGGGACACATCCCTTCAGGTTCTAACACGTTAGATGTTTTTTGAATAGTACCATCAAGACCAGCAACTTAAGGTCTGAGGGCAAAGCTATACCATTGACCTTACAGTGTTATAACGGCAGTAAGATGTCCCCTCAAAGTAACTAGCAACTGCAGCGATCCTCCCTTCTTACAACAAAAGGAAGGATTAGGAATAGGTCAGTCGTAAAAATTACACACCTTAACCCAAAGATCCCCGTTTCCAACGACAAATATGGAGCTAACGCATCAGATTCCTCATCAAATATTCTTTTGAGGATGGGGTAAGCCGTAAGTGATAAGCTCCACCCATGCCTTTAGCAACTATTATCATACTGACTGTGGTAACTAATTGCCGGATTTATTTAAACCTAACTATCAGTGTCTATGCACTTGAGTGTAGTAGATGACTTACCCATCTATTTATTAAATATTAATTGAACTCGACTGTCTTTATCACATATTTGCGCTCGTTTTCTCACTGAGCTGAGGTTTCCCATGGTAGTTCCTAGAACATAGTGCCAATTCCCTCAGCTGCATTGTCTTGTTGCTGCCTGCATGCTTCTTCATAGATCGATTTAAGCCAAGCTAATAATAAATTGTCGTTGAGGTTCGTGAAAATCATAGTAAATCGAGCACCATGTTTCCATGAACAAAATTCTAGCATAACGAGTTATGAATTAATTTACACCTGAAATATGCACCGGAGGTGTATAATCGCGGTCACGTTGCTTAACTAATGAACGTATGCTAAGATTTGTTGTATGTAGAAAGGTTTATGACAAAGTAGATGTAGGATTACTTGACCATATCTGTAGTCCCATGCAAAATAGCCTTTTATTAGTGCTCATTCACAAACCCTCTACTTTAGACACGAAAAGTGCATTCTTAGGATAAGTTGTACAACTCTCTGCCAATAATCAGAAATAATCCTTGATATTGACGCACAAGTTCCTTAAATGATCAACAAAGCACTTATGAAGCTTCTTTCTAGGGACATTGTAACAGCAACAGGTACTGAACAGTTATACTCAGTAATTCATAACGGCTGTTAGGAAAGTCGTGATTGCACTTGTAAGGACATTTTCCAGTTGACATTACTTAGTATTCCGGTCTTTTAATTCCCTATAGAAGTGTAACTTCAAGTCAGAAGCATACAACTGGATAGGCATTTTTAGTAAAGTATATGACCAAACTAGCGTACTTAGTCAGATCGTGCCAACAGAATCTAGCACTTGTCATTACTCTTACTAGCAATACCGATTGTAGCGGATGGTATGAGCACCGAAATCCATAATTATCACCGACGGATGTACTTTTGTGTCGACTATTTTAGCACTAATTTCAGGGCAGTTAAGTCATCTACTAATTTGCTTTCCTTTGTAAAACCCCAAACTTCTTTTACCAGTTTATTCAATGACCAGTCATTCAGACTCAGCGTAGGACCCGAGGTATATGGGCTGGTAATCATTTATAGACTGAACAATTAACCTGGGGTTGGAATGTTGTGAAATACCAACATTTAACTACTAGTACAACTGACTAAGTCACTTTAGAGTAGAATACCAATTTTGTCTGCTTCTGAAAGATATACCGAAACACCACAAGTTATGAATAAACTTACATTCCTACGGACCTGCTACATTCATGTTTGCGAAATACTGCCACAAGATCTCAGCTTTTTTGGGTTAGGGAAGAATGGCACTTGTACACTTCACCACGATCCTTCTTTAGAACCTCAGATCCTAAATTACTTGCAATTCTTTGCTTGATTATTTTATTAATTCGTATTTTCTCGAATCATATCTAGTGTCCAATATCATCTTGGAGAAATTCCGGCGTTCCCCCCCAAACTATAGGGAAAACCCCTAAATTGTTAGATGATTTTGTGGAAATATACGGGATTTTTCCCAGACCTGAGATTTTGGGTTTCGTGCCATTTCCCCAAAGTTTACCTAAACCTGGCAAAACTTTTCCCAAAATAGGGAGATCGGGTGCCTAGGCTTTTCTACTGTCATCAATGCCGTTACTAATTTGCTACTCTGGGATCTCCTTGGTAATTCCATCTTACTGTGCTAGTGGAGTATGGGGCTTGAACTGATTTACGCGTGTCAGGTCTCATGTTGTATCTGACCAATTACCGGGTACACACAAATTTGATTTTTAAAACATGAAAGCGTACCGACATAAGATATCGACCTATAGAATAGAGCCTATACACTTAAAATATATTCTTATACTTTGAATGTCGTAATGAAAGCTGAACAAACTACATCAGTAACTACAAGAATACACTACAGCGACACATGTGGAGACCACTCAGTACTAGTCATAACAGATCTTTTCCCCAGTACGACTTGATGACTGGTTATTTTCGCAAGGTCTAAAATGTTATATCAGAATAGGCTTGTAATTAAGAACGAAATAATTCACAAGTCAGTTAGTTATTTCAAAAAGTATCTGTTTGCTAATATTTTTCAATAACCATGCTACCTCTATTTTTTGAAAAAACAAGGGATACGTCTTCCGAAACTAACACGAGATACAATTCAGGATGATACAGCTAGCCTATATCTTGTATGGAAACATATTGTTTTCTACTTCTTTTTCCCATTTCTCGATCTGATGGAAGTGATTTGAATAGATTAAGACTAAACATACCCATGATGATGGGCAAAGTAATTGTGCCGTACGCATAAAGTAATTGCAAGCTTTGTATTCCTCTCCATATACTCGCTTACAACGCTGAAAATCTACAAAGTTTTGCACACATTTACTTTGGTACGTTAGGATACTAACACAATCATACTTACGGAGTTTGATTGGTATTTGGAAATCTAGAGTCATATGGAACGACTTCCATCCATTCAAAATCACCCTGTATTTATAATAATCACTTGAACTTGCACTACCGTTTCCATTGACTCGCGACATTTATCCTTAAATTCGTCATAGCTGACCATCGTTTGAAGTCCGCTCGAATTAATTATGTTCAATGTCAGGTGCACAGCAGACTTTGCTTTGCAGAAATAATGAAGTTTTTGTTCCCTGTTATATGCATCTATGTAATTGAAGGGAGATATGATTCTCGATATATTCCTTCCACAAACTGAAGCAAATTACAGTTTACTTAGTAACAACAATGATCTAATAGTAACTTTTGAGATTGTAGCGGCAAATAAATCCCCAAAATAAATAGCTCTGTAAGTTTTCGACATTGGATGCTGATCACATTAGTTTTAGTGGACTCACCCAGCCGAAGGCGCTCAGTCATGCATCCGCACCAGATCACGTGTGGGAACGCCGTGCTCAACATCTACCGCAATCGCTAGCCAGACTAGATCAGACAATTCCGACATATTGGCAATCGGAATGGGTTTTGTGGAGATTTTGGAAATTTCACAGATTGAAATCATGAGTCAGTTGAAGCTAGACCACCATTGAAAACCTGGAAGCACTGGACGGCCGTTTCGTCCTAGTATGGGACTCCTCAGCAGTGCGCATCCACGGTCCTGGGTTCGAGCCCCGCGTGGTGCGGGGTCGCGGTTGCGCACTGTTGAGGAGTCTCATACCAGGACGAAACGGCCGTCCAGTGCTTCCAGGTTTTCAATGGTGGTCTAGCTTCAACTGACTCATGATTTCAATCTGTGAAATTTCCAAAATCTCCACAAAACCCATTCCTATAATAATCAACTGCTCACTAGTGACTGACTTCAGGAAAAACTCCTGAAGTTCTAGTGAGAAGCCGTTACCAGTGGAGTTCAACCAGGTCTGTTGTGAGATAGTAACTCACTGAAGACAATGGTGTACGGTGGCGCAACTTCGTGGGTTGGTTGAAGTTAGACATTAACACCGTTGGATGCCGGCTCAGTGGTCTAGTGGTTAAGTGCTCGCGCGCGAAGCCAGTAGGTCCTGGGTTCGAGCCCCGCGTGGTGCGGGATCGTGGATGAGCACTGCTGAGTAGTCCCATACTAGGACGAAACGGCCGTCCAGTGCTTCCAGGTTTTCAATGGTGATCTAGCTTCAACTGACTCATGATTTCAATCTGTGATATTGGCAATCGTCAAATACAACTTCTGATCTCCTCGATTCTGTCATCTGATTTCCCATGGTGTGTACGAGTTATATTAGATGATGTTACTGGTAAAAGTGTTGTCAAACACTGAATACCTGTGCCATCTTCAAGGCAGTCTCCCTCAGTACCATACCAAAAGTTTGAAAAACAAATATGCAAGAAACTATAAATGTATCATCCTTAGTTGATTGAGTAATAGAATCGCAATCCCAAGATATATCTCGAGTTATTTTGCGTAACTGTTAAATCATCTCACGTAGCTTAGACGACAGGAAGGAAATCATGAAACACCTAATCATAGTTCAATGATGTGGTCTGCACACTCTTCTTTAAATGATAAAGAATACAAGAGAACTTTAGTTTGCTATATACTGTTGCGACAGAATCGGTACTGAGAAGCTAGAAACGATTGTGACTCTGCCTTACTCAAATACAGAAATTTACATAAAGAAAAAGCTGTTAAGAAGTCCATAGAATACGCTCATTCCGGGACACGAACAAAAGGATGAAGAGAGAAGGTGGCAACCCTGGATTCTGTGAAGATGGTACTACTCTGTCTCTAGAGGAAAAGGACCACAATGAAGCATAAGTATTGTTGAACTACATTAAAAATGTCGGTACTTTGAAGACTCATTCATCGGTTGCAAGTGAGCCCAACAATGCACGCTCTGGATATTATGGTCATTAAAGAAATCTATGGAGGCCGATGGACTACATCTTAGATTACTGAAGGGACTCCCAAACTTTGCCCCAATTCTGTAGAACATATGTACAAAACCGCGAGATCAAGATGCTATTAATTTCTTATTACTTAATAAGTTAAACTGTTTTACCCATTTCTTTAGAGTATTATACCGAACGCTTTCCTGCAAAAGAAGGATAACAAAATGCTGTTGAATTAAAACGATATTTGTACTCCGTGGGAAACCAGCTACTAGACGGTTCGATCACTTTTTCGCCCCAGAACTCACATTATAAGATCGACATGCACGTAAAAATTATCAAGAACTTCCACCAGAGTTCCCTGTGGCTTCAACATTCACAGGCATAGTTCACCGTCTTTCGGGTCTCGACGTATACGCTTTTGCTCCGCCCCAACGTTGCACAATACTGTACATACTAATCTCAAGTTTGCCAACAAAAATAATTCTAGTGCCATTAACTTTGATCTTAATAACATGCATGCTGCAATCAAAGTCTTTAAGCCAAGTGCAAGTTTCGATGTAGATGCATCCCATCTTTTTATACAAGCAGCAGGATTAAACATACTAACACTAAGACTCAAAATATTTACAATATCTTTGGAGGAAGATCCATATCCCGAGACCTGGACGGTAACGTATGTTGAAACGGAATATAAATCAGGACTGCTAACCTCGATCGAAAAATACAGACCTATAAATATCACCTCAGTTAAAGCAGTTGTAGGGAGTAATTTCCTACAGGTTTAATTCTGAGCTATTCTCTAGACCGTCGAATACAGAGTCTTGGTTTGGCCAAAGTCAGAACAAGCAAGCTATTTGGCTAGATAAACTTTATCTGTTTCTAAAACATAAGTTAACATCGTTAGTGTACAAACAAACTGTACGGTCTATTAATACAGGGAAAAAACAGACAAATAACATACCGAACAGTAGCCAGGGAATAGGGAAAATGTGTCAACAAGCAAATATTACTTTACAACGAACATCAAACTGTGATTGGTTAATAAAGAGATACAGCAGTACAAGGTCAAAGGGAGTTAATGTGGTGGTGGGCGTTTCCCTTTATTATTGGTGAGTTCGTCTGTCGATCACATTTTGCGCCAGTCATAACGGAAAAAGTTGTTAGGCGGATAAATATCCTGCCATCTACTTAGGGAAGGTCAAAGCGACTTGTTCAATATTGACCGAAGTGCGTTCCCTGACTTGCGTGTTGCGTCTATAGAATTATGATTCGCTTCGTTATTAGTACTGCTCTAAAAATAGACCTAATCCTAAAATGGTAGATTTGTCATGTTGTAACTGTCTAATCTATAATATCTTACGTGGAAGTCACATCCTTCCTACAACGACTTATCGTAGTATGACAATCATTGATATATGGTGAAGAACACATTTATGCCGGAGATAGAACAATATATTTAACGTGAATAAATGTGATGTTACATAAGTGTGACCACTCCTTCAATGCCGAGCCATATCATCCAATGATTTTCAATTAATTGAACATATTCTTCCTGCCCTCTCCATCGTTGGGGTTTTCTATAAGTCGAATGTTGAATATCCGTTTTCCCAGTTGCCCAGTGTTGGGCTTTTAGGATTGTGTTGTTAGGGCACAATGCCACTACACCACAATCCCACCAGAATCAACGTGACGTTGGTTTGATACCGACTTGCGTGGGACTGTCGCGCTCCAGAAGTTACAAAGAATAATAAGAATCCTCTGGGTATTAATAAGCTGAAAGATAAATCAGAAAGTAAGCGGCAGTGGTCGGAAAATACACATTAGAATGTCAAAATGTTGGTTTAATTCTTAGCGCACGTAAAATGAAAATTTAGGTGAAGATTATTTGAGCTAAACAAAGTGGGATCATAATAATTGAGAATGATTCCTTGTAGATATGTTTTAATAAGTCAACGTAAAATGCGTAGTAATAACCGTTAGTCAGTAACTTATAGGTAGTTCAAGTATTTTGTGTTTAGAAATATGAAAAAATAATCAACCATGAAACCATCATTTTAACTAGTTATAGCTTTGATTGAGGATGATCCAGTTGAAAATAGGTATTGCTTTTTAGGTGCTTCTGAAATAGAAGAAATCTGTAGCGTCAAGAAGTCCGATCTGCTTAATTATGTTGTAAATTTCGATTCAAAAATATTCGTTTACATAGTGTTAATTTTAATAATAAGATCAACTGTTTTTGCTCTGGACACTTTCGTGGCTAACAATTACATGGTAGTTTAGTTATTATACAATTGCAGTATGAGAGTACCTAACTTCAGTGACTTTATTATCATAACTATGTTCGTGTTTGTGGGAAACCTATATGATGGACCAATTCATAAACATAAATACATATTAGCAGTAACGACTATGATGGGTTCAGTGAAAAATGGTAAAGGCGATTCAAATGATTGTTAAATTTAAATAGCATATATGATGTAATACAATGCATGTATGAGCTAGGTTAACGTGTAGGTTGGTGTAGTATATGACAATTAGAAAATATTTCAAAATTTGAGACAACTTGTGGAACTACAAATAGGAATGTGATGACTTATAATATAGACGTTTCATGCAAAGGTACTATAGTTAGCTTAGTGACATTTATAAATCTGTGACAAAGGTAACTGGAACTAAGAAATGTTAAATAAATTTTATACCTAACATGCTTCGTCTGCAAACAATGCACTTTTTCATGGTAGTATGTTGCAGTATAGAGCTATTAAATATATCTTATACCAAACACGTTTTGGAAGTGGTTCATATGTAACATAATTGCTGTGCAAATAGCTGAACACAGAATCTATTTTGGGCGTCATTTAAAATACGACAGAAGAAAGGAAAAAATAAGACTACCAGTGTATCTAAATTTTGGCTTCTCTTCAATTATAAAATATATATGTGAAGGTGATACAGAGACTAATCCCGACAATGTTTATCACATATTCGTTGCAGCGGATTTCCTTTTATTGCCAGAGTTGAAACAACAATGTGCGAATCCAATAAAAGAGATTGCAACTACTGATTTTTCTACTGCAATCGATATGTGGTTTAATTATAAATAATCCTATTGGCCTGGACTAGGCTCATTGGCACATCAAACAATTTTAGAAACTTTCGGAAAAATATGGCACACATGGGACTTCAAGAAATTAAGTGCAAACTACATTCATCAAATTCTTC